CCAGCCCTCTACCCGATTTTTTTTTTTTTAAGATGCAGGGTCTCATGTAGCCTAGACTTGCCTTGAACTTGTTATATAACTAAAGGTGACTTTGAGTTTCTGATGCCCCACCTTTGAGAGCCAGGCTCCTAGGCCTCACCGTGCCTGGGTTGTGTGGTGCCGGGGAAGGACCTCAGGGTTTTGTGCATATATAGCTATGATTTTTTTCTCTTTCATGACTCAGTGGGTAAGAACATGTATTGCTAATCTGGGACCCAAGTTCAGTTCCCAGCACCCCCAGCCACCTGCGACAGCAGTTCTAGAGACCCAGTGCCCTCTTCTGGCTTTTGGGCCCTGCACTCACGTGCACAAATCCACATATAGACACACATATGCTTGCAATTAAAGAGAATCAAACGTTAAAATATTTGTGTACAGATAAACCCAGGTTCCCCTTAGTCCGCCTTTAACGGTGCCTCCTACTCTACAGGGGCCAGAAACAGGTAGTTGATTCCCTGAACCAGGCCTGAGTAGTATAAAGCATGCTTATGTCCCGAGGAGAATGTGTGGGTTGTTTGTTTGGTTAATTTTTCAAGACAGGGTTTCTCTGTGTAGCCCTGGCTGTCCTGGAACTCACTCTGTAGACCAGGCTGGCCTCGAACTCAGAGATCTGCCTGCCTCTGCCTCTGAGTGCTGAGATTAAAGGGGTGTGCCACCTTCCAGCAGGATTTTTTTTTAATTAACCTTTTATAAAAGGTTTTTTGTTTTCTTTTGGTTTTGCATTTATTTAGTGTGTGTAGAGGTCAGAGGATAAATTGTGGGAGTAGTTCTTCTACCATGCGGGTTCCAAGGTCATTAAGATTGGTTTAAAGCCCTGCCCACCGAGCCGTGTGCTGGCCCTGTTTCAGTTGTCTTCACTTTGTAATCAACAAAAATGCTTGTTTTCTGCTGTGGTTAAATGCTCGGGAGGCTGAGGCAGGAGGTCTTGTGATACTTTGTCTCAGAAACATAAGAATAGGGCTGAGGATGCGCAGCTCAGTAGTAGAGGGGTCTAGGGCCAGGGCTTAGTGCCCTTCATGCTGGGCACGGAGAGCCATGCCAGCACTTGGCACTTCCCCCCACTCTTGAGGGCTCACAGTGATGCAGCAGCACACATTGGGGGTACAGTTTGGCACCCAGGTAGCCACCTTCCAAGGCTATCCCCTCCACGAGCTTCCTGTGCCATGGCAATTTTGAAGCTGTGGCCACAAAGGGATGAGGTTCTCTAAGCATTTCCTGGTGTGTCCCCTCAGGGGTCCAAGGTGGGCAAACTGACCCTCAAGACCACAGAGATGGAGACCATCTACGATCTGGGCACCAAGATGATCGAGTCTCTGACCAAGGACAAGGTCCAGGCTGGGTGAGCCACTGGGGCCATGAAGATGGCTGGGGCAGTGAGAGAGTCTTCTTCTCTGTTTTGTTTTCCAAGACAGGGTTTCTCTGTGTAGCCCTGGCTGTCCTGGAATTCCCCTCGTAGACCAGGCTGGTCTCGAACTCACAGAGATCCACCTGCCTCAGCCTCTGCCTCCCGAGTGCTGGGATTGAAGGCGTGCGCCCCCGCCGCCTGGGCCTCTCACTCTTTGCTATTGCTCCTGCAGGGATGTGATCACTATTGACAAGGCCACCGGCAAGATTTCCAAGCTGGGCCGCTCTTTCACACGAGCACGTGACTATGACGCCATGGGCTCCCAGGTACTGGCTGACCCCTCACCTGGCACTGGGACGTCTCTATATCTTGTCACATCAGGGGTCTGGATGCTATGGAATCTCCCGGTGTGGGGCCCCGGGGCCTGTGCCCTGCTGCCCTCACCCCTGCCCTCGGCCCTCTAGACCAAGTTCGTGCAGTGCCCAGACGGGGAGCTGCAGAAACGCAAGGAGGTGGTGCACACCGTGTCCCTCCACGAGATTGACGTCATCAACTCTCGGACTCAGGGCTTTCTGGCCCTTTTCTCAGGTCAGCTTTCTCCTCTCCCGGCACACACCTCCTCGGTCTTTCTTCCCAGACCTCCTGTTTGCCCTCTGTGCTCCATTTGGGTTTATCATTCCCTGCGCTGCCCTGAGTCCCTCCTCAGGTCCCTGCCTCTGTCTTGTGTGGGGCATTCCAGGGTCCTGGGCCTGCTGCACTGCAGCCCTGCTCCGTGGCATTTGTCTTCCTCTGTCTTTGCCCACCCCTGGTCCTGGACACAGTCTCTAGTCCACTGATGCCCCCCGTCTCCCGCAGGAGACACAGGGGAGATCAAGTCCGAAGTCCGAGAACAGATCAATGCCAAGGTGGCTGAGTGGAGGGAGGAGGGCAAGGCGGAGATCATCCCTGGGGTGAGTGCCTAGAACTGAGGGGGGCAGCTATGACCTGGGGAAAGAAAGGGGTGCAGGTGAACTTGATCTGTGCCCCGACGGCTTCTAGGTGCTGTTCATCGACGAGGTCCACATGCTGGACATTGAGAGTTTCTCTTTCCTCAACCGGGCCCTGGAGAGTGACATGGCCCCTGTCCTCATCATGGCCACCAACCGAGGCATCACCCGGTGAGGAGCTGTCGAGGTTTCTGGGTGAAGAGGGACTCTGGACCAGGGGTTGATGGTAGCCTGTGGGTAAATAGACTGTCTGCTGAGTGCCATGGATGGTACCCTAGCACCTCCTCTCCGAGGTTGCCTTCGCCGTTGTCCCCACAGTCCTGGGCAGATAGAAAATCTGTCCCACATGCAGTTCAGAACTGTTGGTCAAGGCACCCAAAGAGGCTGAGTACAGGAGCGTCTATTAGACATGTTACAAACTGCTGTGGTCAGTCAGGTCACTCAGACCCAGATACTTTGACCTCAAGATGCTGTGGCGCGCCCACTCCAGCAGCAGTCCTAGCACTGTGGAGGCTGGGCATGGGCTACATGAGACCCTTTTCTCAAAGAAAACAGGTCTGAAGCAATGGTTCCCAGGTTAAGAGTACGTAGTGCTCTTGCAGAGGACCTGGGTTTGGGGAGCCAGGAGGGACAGGGCTCCGCGGCCAGTCTCCCTCTGGTGGTGGCTCATGAGCTTCATCAAGCACATCAGCCTGTCTCATGTTTTTACCATGGCATCCCCTCCCCCATTATGTGGCAGGGCGTGTGTGCAAGTGTGAATTGAGGAGTGTGCCCAGTCCATAACAGTAGGTCAGATTCCCTGCAGCTGGACTTATAAGCGGTTATGAGCTACCCAGTGTGGGTACTGGGAGCCCACCTGGGCTTCTGCAAGAGCAGTGTGTGTTCTTAACCATCTCCTCAACCCCTTTTCTGATTTACGTTTATGTGTGTGTCTGTGTATACGCTCACAGGCATGTGGTACCCACGATGCCACAAGAGTGCGTCATATCCCCTGGCACTGGGGTTAGAGGTGGCTGTGAGGGTGCAGAGGGCCGACAGCACTAGCAGGCTGTGGCCCGGCAACCTCACCGGCTCTGCTCTTCACCCCACTCCGTCCCCCACTTCACAGTAGGCAGCAAAGTCGGCGACTTGCCCAAGGCCATAGGTTTACGGTGGCAGGGTGCAGGAGGGGCAGCTTTAGACCAGGGCACCGAGGGCACCCAGTTGTGAGGTCCGCAGCGGCTGAGCGAGGTCCTGCTCCCAATCGCTTTGTCCTCTGATGTCCCCTGCCGTCCCCAGTCAGTGTGCCAGCTCTCCCCGGGCCCGGAGAGTGCGTGAGTGGGAGGTTGGAGTCTGGCAGCTGGAGATCAGCATCCTAGCTGTGGCTAAACTGCCTGTGACTGGAGCAGATTGCTGTGGGTCCCACTGCCCACCAAGAATTCCCTGTGCAGCAGGGAACAGGGCAGCCGCTAGCCTGCTGGGGAGGCCTGTGCCTACAGGTGATAAGAGTGCTCATGCAGTTAGTTACTTAGCTCTCGGGTGGGTGTGATGGCCAGCACGGTTTCCCGGAACATCCATTAACAGTCCTTCCTGACCCCCAGGATCCGAGGCACCAGCTACCAGAGCCCCCATGGCATCCCCATTGACCTGCTGGACCGCCTGCTCATTGTGTCGACATCCCCCTACAGTGAGAAGGACACCAAGCAGATTCTGCGCATCCGGTGGGCCACCCCGGCCCTTTATGGGGGACACGGAGATTGGATGGGAGGGATTCCCCCAGACTTCTGTATCTGGGAAGACCAGTGTGGCATCCTACCCATGGGGAGAGCTGGGGGGCGGGGGCGGGAGACCCCCCCCTGGGCCTGCAGAGCTTTTTAACCTCCTCATCTGTGGTTCTGCGATGTGTGTGTGTGTGTGTGTGTCTGTGTGTGTCTGTGTCTGTGTGTGTGTACGCGATGTGGGGATGGGTGGGCTGCTGTGCCGTTCTGCCTGGCTGAGGCCTGCCTCCCACAGCTGTGAGGAGGAGGATGTGGAGATGAGTGAGGATGCCTACACAGTGCTGACCCGCATTGGCCTGGAGACCTCCCTGCGCTACGCCATCCAGCTTATCACAGCGGCCAGCCTGGTGTGCCGGAAACGAAAGGTGAGTCATCAAGTTAGCCTGGAGGGCCGAAGGGACGGCACATGGGCATTCAGTGGGAACCGAGAACCACAGTGATCTTAGAGGAGAAAACTGGGGGTGGGGGGGTCGGACCCGTGACCTCGTGCTGACACGAGCTGAGTCCCACCTGTCCCTAGGGCACAGAGGTGCAGGTGGACGACATCAAACGTGTATACTCCCTCTTCCTGGACGAGTCCCGCTCCACACAGTACATGAAGGAATACCAAGATGCCTTCCTCTTCAATGAGCTCAGTGAGTATCCCAGCCACCCAGGCTGCTGCCACTGTGGGAGAGGGCTCCATGGGAGCGCCCTGGACCTCACTCACGCCTGGCTCCCCTCTCCACAGAAGGCGACACAATGGACACCTCCTGAGCTGACCTCCACTCAGCCCTCCCCCCTTGTTGTCTACAAGTTCTGACACTGTGACTTTGTATAAAATGGTTGGAAACTGGAGCCCTGCTGTGTTCCTCGGCCCACAGGACACCCCAGTGCAGTTGTAAATTAGCCTTTATTGGGAGGGGCAGTTGGAAGACCTGCCAGCTCCTCAGAGGAAGAGGAGGCCGGGGAGGTGGGGGAGGTCGCAGGCCAGCGGTTGAGCCCTGGGACCCCCGCAGTCAGAGCTGCTGAGACGGCAGGGCCCGCAGCGGCAGCTGAGGGCCACGGGGAAGGAGACCATGGGGTCCACACCAGGGGGGCAGCCAGGGAGGCGCACAGACGCGAAGCGCAGCTCACGGTAGGTGCACACAGGCTGGGGCACAGGCGGCAAGGCAGCCGGCAGTACTCGAACCTGGGGCCCAGGGAGAAAAACAGTGCTGAATGGTCCCGCACCCTGGCTCTGCGCTGAATACCCGCCCGATCCTCCCAACCCCCGCAGTAGCTATGACCCTGCCCGGGTGCCACCGCCGCCTGTCGTGGGTCTGGCCGAGGCCCCGGCCCACTTGGTAAGCTCACCGTGCTGGGGCAGTAGCCGGCACAGACGCTGGTGGTGAAGGTGATACAGACTGGGCAGGCCTCGTTCTCTGCAGCCAGGGTCGCGTTGACAGGCCGGCACAGTGGCCGCAGGGGGCCCCTGGAGGCCCCTACCACACTTGGGCTCAGCAACAGCCACAGTAGCAGCCCCTGGGACATAGCCAGTGTCTCAGTCTAGCCCTGGATTTTCATCCCGGGCTCTGGTCCCACTCGGTATAATATAGATCCTGGCCTTCAGGGCCCATCCCCTGCCATCAGATCCAGATCTGTCCTGCTGGGAGCCCACCAGCTAGGACACCCCCCCACAGGTCACAGGGCTGTCCATCTGTTCAGCCAGGGTCTGGTGGAGTTGGGAGACGTCCCGGGCCTCCACTCTTACCTGGAGTCTCTCCATTCTTGATGCCTTCCCTACCTTGGCCACCTGACTTTATACCTGCAGGGTGTGGGGGTGGCAAGGCCACCAAGCAGCGGCTGTAGGCTTGGGTAACCTGGACACTAATCTCTTTGGGGGCGAGAGACAGACAAGGTCAGGGAAGTGAGGAACCAGCTCCAGTGTCATGGTGACTGGCCTCATACTCAGCCCAGGTGGGAGCCCAGCGGACGTTGGGGGTGCAGGAAGGACCCTTGGATCCTTCCCCCCGTCACGGGAGGGGAAAGGGGAGAGTATCCTGTAGGCTGCTGGCCGGGCCCCTAAGGTGCTGGAGGCTAGCTCATTCTCATGCCTCCGTGCAACCTTATGGAAGGTACAGCTACGGCCTTAGGTCCCCCATGCCAAGTGGGCCTCCAACTAGACCCAGACACCTTCGACCAGAGGTGGAGCAACCGCCCCTCACCCAACTCCCTAATCAGGATGCATGGGTCCAGAAATGGGTGTGGTTTCAGCTATTAAACGCCTTGATCAGTAAGCTCCGCCTGGAGGAGGTTCCTCTGCAAGCGCGGGGTATGCCTGGGTTGACCTGCCCACAACCCACAAATCCGAGGCTGGAGTGTCTGCCTGGTGGGCAGGGCTCACATGCTCACACCAGCTCTGCCCTGGCACTCCCGTAGCGGGAGTTCTCAGTGCAGTAGGCCTTGGGCACGCTGTAGATGCCAGGCACTGGCTTCAGGTGGGGGCCTCCCCAGGGGGCCTCTAGTGGGCAAAAGCGGTCCAGCTTGCGGAGCGGGTGCACCGAGGGCCCGTAAGACTCCTGGGTCAGAGGCAGGGCCCCTAGGTAGGGCACAGCTGGCGGCACTGGGCGTGCCCGAGCTAGGCGCTCCCTTGGCAGGTGCAGCTTAACGTGGCGGGGGGGCTGTGACTTCGCCACTCTGTCCTGGCCAGGGTGTCCAGGCAGCTCCTTCCTGTGGGTGGAACAGCAGGAGAATAGGACCAAGAGCAGCAGAGTTCGGCTCCTGGAAATGGGCTCTTGCTGCCTTGGAGGGAGCTCTGGGTTCTGAACTCCAGAGTGGAGCTTGGGTCAGTACTGCGCTTCCTGTGTCTGCAGTTGGAGCTGCAGGGGAGAGGGGAGAGGGCTCACCTGGAGAAGTCTCGTAAAGAGGTGGTCAGGTAGGGCTGGAGGCGGCCCAGGACACCCGTCTTCCCCACCGTAAAGGGCTGGCCAGCCAGCTCTGGGTTTCTCGTCCAGGGGACTAGGGCCTGAGGAGCATCGGGAAAGGAAGTGGACAAGAAGGATATTGGTTGTACCCTATCAAAGCCCTCCCACTAGTCTCAGGCTTTGTGCCTCAAATCAGGGTCCTTGGGAGCCATGCACTCCATCTTTTTTTTTTTTTTTTTTTGGTTTTTCGAGACAGGGTTTCTCTGTGTAGCTTTGCGCCTTTCCTGGAACTCGCTTTGGAGACCAGGCTGGCCTCGAACTCACAGAGATCCGCCTGCCTCTGCCTCCCGAGTGCTGGGACTAAAGGCGTGCGCCACCACCGCCCGGCTTATGCACTCCATCTTAAACACTGGCCAACAACCCAAACTCCAGCTGCAGCCACACCCCCTTTCCAGTTCCCTCCCAGTCCAAACAGTTACCCAGACACTGGACATTAAGTGCATCTTGGATAACAATCCCACCTAACTGTTTCCTTGCCTGTAAACCCAACTTCCATCTGCTAACCTGGCCCTGATCAGAATATTCTAGTCCAGGTCTGAGGAGCGACTGCTTACCTTCGTTCATTGCACCAGCACCCCACAGCCTCAGAAGCAACGTTGAGCCTCCTCCAGAGGTCGTGTCAGTATCCTGACCCTAATCCAATACCTTTTAGCTACACCCTCGAGTGCAAGCTTCCTCCAGCCCAGCAATTGAGTCTGATCCCTAACCTCTGGACAGCCCAGGCTCCTTCCCACGGTGTCCAAGCTCGCCTGCTCTACCTGGGAAGGGCCCCCACGGTGGTGGTCAGCGAGCTCCGGGGGTTGGGGCTCCACAAAGAGCGGGGCGCTCTGGTCCAGACCTGGGCAGCCCGTGTACTCTGCCTTCGTCTCGCTGATCTGGTATTTTGTGTCCAGGGGGACACCCCAACCCTCGTGTCTTCTTAGCTACAAGAAGGTGGTCCAAAGACTCAAGGTGAGCAAGCAGGGCCTTCAGTGTCCAGCTCTCCATCCACCAGGCTGCAGGATTCCAGACCCCTACCTTCTCTGCCAAAGACTTGATCCCAAGTACCCGCCCAGGGTCCTCATGCTCTGCTGCCTTGGGCTGAGCACAGGGACCACCGTGTGTCTTGAGCCTGTGTGCCGAGCCTGAGGTGGTTTCCCATCTGTTGATGACTTCGTCAAAGGCCCAGATGCGCGGGTCGTGCCTCACGGCTGCGGGCAGGGGTGCCAGGACCGTAGGCTGGGGAGAAGGCGCATAGTTCAGCCCAAAGACCCAAGGAGGCTTCCCCTTTCCTTCCTCCAGGTCCTGGCCTGCAGGCAGGCTCCCGGCCCCGCCCCGTTCAAACCCAGAGCCTAACCCTTGAGTCCTCTTTCCTCCCAGCACACGGGTTTGTAACAGCACCCTTTTCCTGTCGCGCCCTGGGCCCTGGGTCCTCTCACCTGTAGAATGGGCGGAGGAAAGGGTGCCGGTGGGATCCTGTGGTGGGCGACCCCGCTGCTGGTGAGATGCCAGCTGGGCCAAGTTCCAGGAACCTCAGTTTCAGAAATGGGGGAACAAGGGGGCCCATATCGCAGAGCTAGTGTCCGGCCTGCCATAGTTCTCACACTCTCGGAAGTCAAGAAGTGGCTTGTTGTGGTGTGGCCGTTGCCCCTCGTAACAGAACCCGCCCACCCTCAGCCCAGCCAATGGCGTGGGGAGAATTCAGGGAACTCAGACGAAGATTTTGGAAGAGGAGGATGGAGGAGACCCTAAGACCGGTACAGAGACACAGATATGTGGGGAAGGGTGGAGACTCCCAAGAGAGGAGGAGAAAGGAGGCGGGAGGTCGGGGCGGGGGGGGACAGCACACACGGAGACAGGCTGATTCAGGGGGTGGAGAACTAAACGCCCCTTTCCTGCAGGGCCCCTGGCCCTGGGGCTGCCTCCTCTTCTGCCAGGCCTGCCTACCTCCCTACCTCGGGGTAACAGTTTCCAGACAGCTCTTTTCCATGAAGGCTGAAGGGCGAGCCTCCCCACGGCTGCCTGCCTTTCAGTTGGCTGAAAACTTCCACCTGGGTATGGAGGCTGGGGGGCGGGGGTGGGGGTGGGAAATACACCAGGAAACAAAAAAAGGGGCTCCTCACCCACAGAAAAGAGACAGGAAGTCAGAGAGACAGAGGGAGGTGGTTAGAGGGTGGGAATAAGGCCACCGTCAGAGCATCGGGGGCAGGTTCTGCCTGGCTAGTGGTCCAGGCTCACTCAGGGTGGGGGAAGCTGGCCTCCGAAGAATATGTTTAGACACCCTCCTGCGGCGCCATAGGCTGTTGGTCCAACACAAGGCTGTCCAGTCCAGCCTGGTCTACTGTAGAGAGGCCCTCCCTGTCTCCCAGGTGTGGATGCACACACCTGTGGTCCAAGCACTTGAGAGGAAGGTGGGTCGGGAGAGATGGATCAGCAGTTAAGAGCACTGGCTGCTCTTGCAGAGGACTAGGGTTCAGTTCCCAGCACCCACATGGTGCCTCACAAACATCTGTAACTCCAGTTCCAGGGGATCCAATATTCTGTTCTGGCCACTGCAGACACCATCATGATGCACATCATACATGAAGGCAAAACACTGAATACACATAAAATTAAAGAACTCTTTAAAAAATGTAAGGTCATCCTCAGCAACATACTCCAGTTCTAGGCCAGCCTGAGCTGCATGAGAACCTGTCCCAAGACATTTTTAAAACGAGATGTGTTGGGCCTGGAGAGATGGCTCAGAGGTTAAGAGCACTGACTGTTCTTCCAGAGGTCCTGAGTTCAATTCCCAGCAACCACATGGTGGCTCACAACCATCTGTAACGAGATCTGATTCCCTCTTCTGGTGTACAGGCAAACTTGCAGAAAGAACACTTTATATAATAAATAAAATAAATCTTAAAAAAAAAAAAAGGTGTGTGTGTGTGTGTGTGTGTGTGTGTGTGTGTGTGTGTGTCTCGGGGTCCAGGCGATGGCATGCTTGCCCGGCATGCAGGAGGCCCAGGTTCCAACCCCTGCACTTCATAAGTTGTAATGTCAGCATTTGGGAGGGGGAGCAGGAGATAAGGAGTTCAATAGTGAGTTCAAAGCCAGCCTGAGCTGCATGAGACCCTGTCTCCAAAATCAAAACTAAACAAAAAAGACTAGGTCTGTTCTGGGCATGAGGCATCCAAGCCTGCTTGTACTTCTCTGGATGCTCACCACTCAAAGCAGAGCGCTGTATTCCAACACATTTCAACCCCAGTTCCACCATGATGGTCTCCACTGACCACATCCTCAAGGTTCTAGGGCCAGTTGCTTTCATCGTGTTCCCACGACCCATCCCCCCAACCCCCTGCGCCCCTGCCAGTCTATGCAACCCAGGCTGTCCTGGAACTAGAGGCAATCCTGTCTGCAGCCTCTCGAGGATTAGGATTACAGGCATGTATCACAACAAGGCCCACTCCTTTTTATTTTTTTCTTTTCTTTTTTTTTTTAGATAAGTTCTCATGTAGACAAGGCTAGCCTCGAACTCCCTATGTAGCTAAGAATGACTTTGAACTCCTGATCTGCCTGCTTTTACCTCCCAAGTGCTGGCATTGCAGATTTCCACCACTGTACATGGTTTATGATGTGGTCCTCAGGATAGAGCCCAGGACTTGATACATGCTAGGCAAACAGTCCCTGCTCACATCCCTTTTTCACACGTTCCTTCCTGGTCCCTCTTCTCAGGGTGAGCCAGGATCCTCTGATGTTGGAATGGTCAGCAGAGTTAAGTATTAGGTCTAATAAACAGTAGATAGCAATCATTGGCTATGATTATTACTGTCAAGTTCCTGCAGGAGAACTCCTATTCATCCCTTCAAACTCTGCTTGGTTTCATCCAACATTCCACACGGATTGAGCTCTCAAAAATGAGAGGTTTGATTTTTTTTTTTTCCAGTTCTCAATCAGAAGGCACAGTAGAGCAGCCAGGTCGCCTCTGAGGTCCTTTAGCATCCAGCTCTTTTCTTTCCTCAACCTGAGCAGTTCCCAGGCTGGAGTCCTCAGGCCCGGCCTGTTCGGCTGAGCAGCGTGCAGACGCAAGCTGTATCGATCCGAATCCAACGCCAGCCCACGCGGCCCTGGGAGTCTGCAGTCAACGCCCGCACATAGGACTGCTTGGCCTTG